ACCCTGCTGAGGTCTCTTGGAGGTTATCTGCAGCCTGTCGTGGGCTCCAGCCAACAGCGAGAGCTGAATAAGAGTCTATCAGGGTAGCAAAATAAGCATTAGACTGGGCACAGGGCAGCAAAAAGACTTTAAGAATGAGTATAAACACATGAGATCTGGGGCAACTTCTGCAGCTGGCCAGGCTGAGAAACGGAGATTGAGTGTACTGCTGCTCTCAGCACTTTGATTGCTCGGTGATGCTGCTCGGAGCCAGCAAAAGCTGGTGTATTTGCAGTTCAAGGTCAGCAAAATCCATCAGTTTCAGATTGTGCCCAAACTATAGGTATTTAGAACTTATGTGGCTCTAAATTTCTCTGATAGCATGCGGGTACAGCACTCACTCCTGCGAGCTGGTCTGAGAGAGGTGCAGTGAAATGCATGCAGCACCTTTGTCTTGCAGTGAGCGCCTGAGGGCAGATCAGGGTGAAGGAGCTGAACAAGGATGTCTTTGCAGTGGGTCCAGTTAGGCAGGATCAGATGCGCTTTGGTGCCTTTCTGGTTTTTCTGGAAGAGCAATGCTAACATCTGGTGGCCGCAATAGTTAATCGCATCTATTGGTGGGTTTGTTGGGAAGGGTGAAGGCTGGGATGACTGGAGGCTTTCCACACGCTGACGCCTTTTTTGTCTTTTGATCATTCAACAGGAGGGTATTCAGATTACAGAGAGTGGCAAGTTCCACGTAAGCTCGGATGGGACCCTTTCCATCCAAGACCTCGGTGTGGCTGATCAGGGCAGATACGAGTGTATAGCAAGAAACCCCTTTGGCTTCACCTCCAGTACTATGCAGCTCACTATCACCGGTAGAGTATCTCCTGTGATCCTTTAGTGCCTTGTCTCTTCTCTTGCCCTCATTAAGGGAGGGGTTATGCTGTATAGATGCCTTTGCTTTGAAAAGATAATTCTGTTAATTCTTAAGCTTGTTTGTAGATAGGTCATTCACAGGCATGATCAGACAATATTTCGGTTGTGTAAGCCCATACACCTCCCAGCTGTTCCTCACTGTTGTCTCAGCTAAGGTGCATTTGTACAGTGCAAAGAAAAAGGTGTTGTCTTAAACTACCTCTTGCAAGCCTGCTTTGTCTCACACTGCAAAGTGCTGACATTGTGCTGGTAGTTACTGTCTCTCCATTGAGAGGCAGTAACTTATTAAAATGTGCTAACATGCTCACAAGTCACTGTCTGACCATAACCTCACGCACTGGGGAAAGGAGAATGAGAACAACGCTGTCAGTGCAAATATAGGGTTTTTAAAATTCACTAAATCCCTTGGAGCTGGGAAATGATTCTCTAGTTTTCAAACTACTGCTCTGTACATTAGGGAAGGCTAAACAGAAACTGTAATGAATAAAAAAGAGTCACTCTTCCGCTAATCAAACCAGAGGTCAAGTGTGGAAATTGTGCTTCTTGGAGAGTAAGGAAGAACTGATAAGGAAAAAATTCAAAGGCAAGCAATAAGGTTAAAAATTTAAGTAGAAGCATATTTCTCAAGCACGCAGGAATAACCAGCATGAATAAGGAGTAGCTTATTAGACAAATTTAATATCATTTTCTATACAGAGATTTTATGCAAGGAGCAGAGAATAATCTGTAACTTCTTTGTTGTTTAAAACTATCCATAAAATAATTTCTATGATTTATGCCTGAACGGTACTTCATTTTCCAGCTGCCTGTTGCACTGCATCAGAAGGCCAAATGGGAACTGGTTTGCTTAGCTGTGACAAAGGCCCTGTGTATTGTCTCCCAGAATGACAGGGAGGTGGGTCACATTTAGAGCCACATTTTCAGTATGTGGGCCGGAGTTAGGTCTAAATGGAAATTTAGAGTCAAATAACTTAATAGAAATGACATTTTGTGTTGACCAAAGCTTCCATTAAATTAATTAATGGTTTTAAAATGCTTTCTATAGTTATTTTTAAGAATTTAAGTGTTTCCTTCTGAAGATATTCAAGCAACAGCTTTCCTTTTTGTTTTAAAATGTGTTTGATATGTTTACACTAAATTTGAACTGAATTAGAGGTGCTCTAGAAAGGAAAAATCAATGTAATCAATATAAGCAATACATTAAAATGAATTTTATGAATTTTGTAAGTTTCCTTCATGGGAAGAAAATGCATTATTTTAGGACAGCCCACTGTAATCTGTACCTTTTCTATTTTAGCCACAAACCAAAATAAGCATTTATTTACAAAGCACTACAGCAGCAGACTCCATATGTGTCTTCCACAGACCTCTCCCAAAAAAGTCATCTGTTTTACAGTAGCTTTTCTGTCAGTTAATTTCGCTTTCAGAATATTTGTTAAAAGTTTCATGTTGTTTATGTGGCAGATGGTAATGGCGTTCTGCGTGTGGTAGAGCATGCGTGATGCTCGTGCTGATAGGTAGATTTTCTTAAGCTTAGAAGACAGATTAATAACAAAGTAAATTAAGAAATTGTTATTCTCTCTCTCTCTGTTGGAAAGCCATGGATGTTGGTCGGAGTGGTGACATGTTTGTAGCCACATCAATACGGGAAGCCATCAGCAGTGTGGACTATGCCATTAATTCAACGCGCACTGAGCTGTTTAGCAAGTAAGTGCATGAAGCAGCGAGATCAGAGATGTGAGGCGGAGAAGAGATAAAAGAGATGCTGAACTAAGCTTTTTGAAATCTCATTTTATTGGTGTCAATCTATAAATAAGAGCTACAGCATTGTTTCGGGTACTGGAGATTGAAGCTACGCCATGCAGATGTAAGAATGCGATAGAGATTCATCACAGAAAGTGTTTGGGATTCTGGAAACATCTTATATGCTAACACCACCTTTTATGTCACGTATATCTGCTACGTGCGTTATGTCAGCTGGAGTTGGCTCAAGAGACAGTGCATAGAAAAGAAAATAATCAGCAGAGTCATTTTATAAATGCAACTGACTTAGTGCAGAGTGAATAAAAATAATAATATAATTATAACCATTTCCTTAATGAAAAATTACTGCCAAGTGAGTGGAAATTCCCTCCTCTTCTATCCAAAAATAAGCTTATTGAAAAGATAAACACTTTGTGTTAAGCCAAAAACCTCTGGGTTTCAGCTGTTGAAAAGTACATTACTAGAGCAGAGGAAATAGAGATGCTGAGGAAATTAAATGTGTGCATTTTCCTAGGGAAAAATATCCTGTCTCTAATCAACTGCAATATGCAGGCAAGCCACATCGTTCATATGCACTAGTTTTTGGGGTTGAGCACAGTCAAGGCTTAAAACCTGCCTCCTGCTGCCTGTAGTGTCTCATTGGTCTGAACAACATACTCATTTCGATGTTTCTGCATCACTTTTAATTCCTTGAAACAGGCGCCCCAAAACTCCCAATGACCTTCTGGCTCTCTTCCGTTACCCCCGGGACCCCTATACCATTGAAACAGCCAGGGCGGGTGAGATCTTTGAAAGAACCTTGCAGCTGATTCAAGAACACGTGCAACAAGGTTTAATTGTGGATATGAATGTCACAGGTATGAAAGATATATTTCCCTTCCTAACTTTGAACAGATTTCTGGGTAAGGTTTAATTAAAACAACAATTTATCCAGAAAAATAAAACGTGCAACATTGTACCAAAAGTCCAGATCAGTTATGAATATGCCAAGAAATGTTTTGTCAGGGTTGCAAATCTCTCTCTGACATATAATGTTTTTTATAACAGCCAGAGGGCTGGTCTTGTGGTTACTGTACCAATCTGGTACTCAGGAAATTGTGGTTCAGTCCCCCATTTTGCTAAGTATTTCCTGAGTGGCTACTAAGGCCCTAATCCTTAGAAATGTTTAGCCGTCTACCTCCCATCAATTCCAAAGACGAGTAGGCGTTTCAGTACCTTTATGGATCTGAGATTCAGCCCCTCTGCAGGGGGAAGAGAGACGTTTCTTTTGTGCAAAATGGACATTCTCATACACTGCACATTTCTACCTCTACGTGTTAGTCATCATGTACATTTGGGCATATAAATATTTTTGCCTGTCTGGATCTATTCCAGCCTGCGAGGAGTCTCACTCCAAGCTGCAGGTCTAGTCTGGGCTAGTCAGACTGCAACCTCTTGTCCTCGTGGCCCTGTCAGCATCCGCACGACTCGGCCTTATTCAGCGCTTTCACGGAGCGCCATGCCCCGGCAGCCACTGACAGCTTCCCTGCTGCTTGTCACGTATAATTTGGATGATCAGTTATGCTTGAGGCTGCAGTAATAACCCAGACAGACATAAAAATAAACCCAGTGCTGACTGCAGAATGGAGACCAAGAGCACCAAGAGCACGGCTTGGTCTTCTGTTTAATGTTTTAGTTTTTGATCTCCGGGCAGTTTAAACTCTTCTCTTCTTCTCTTCCTCTCTTTGGGCCTGATATGATCCTGTGCTTCATTTAGCTTTCCTAAATCACATGGCAATACCACGATTGGAGATTGGGTCTTCATGCCCATCACAAAAATCCCAGAAACGGATTCCAGTCAGAGGCCTTATATGGGATAGCAGGAACTAGATGGCTAATGTGGCCGTGGTCTGATGCGTCACTTTGATATTTACCTTTGCAGGCTATCGTTACAATGATTTGGTCTCCCCTCACTACCTGAACATGATTGCCAATCTGTCTGGCTGCTCTGCCCATCGCCGTACACCTAATTGCTCAGATATCTGCTTCCACAAGAAGTACAGGACCCACGATGGCTCTTGCAACAACCTCCAGCACCCAATGTGGGGTGCATCTCTCACAGCCTTCCAGAGACTCCTCAAGCCAGCCTACCAGAATGGATTTAACCTCCCCCGGGGATTTTCTTTGGCAGAAGACTCCAGGGACCTGCCCCTTCCGTTACCCCGCCTTGTCTCCACTGCCATGATTGGGACTGAGACCATCACCCCAGATGACCAGTTCACTCACATGCTCATGCAATGGGGCCAGTTTCTGGACCACGACATGGACCAGACAGTGGCAGCCATTAGCATGTCTCGTTTCTCAGATGGGGCACCCTGCAGTGAGGTGTGCAGCAACGACCCTCCTTGCTTCTCTGTCATGATTCCTGCAAATGACCCCCGTGTGAGGAATGGGCGCTGCATGTTCTTTGTCCGCTCGAGCCCTGTATGTGGCAGCGGGATGACCTCACTGCTGATGAACTCTGTCTACGCCAGGGAGCAGATCAACCACTTGACCTCTTACATTGATGCCTCTAATGTTTATGGCAGCACGGAGCAGGAATCACAGGAGCTGAGGGATCGGAGCAACCAGAATGGATTACTGAAGCAAGGGCCAGTTGTGCCCAGCTCGGGGAAGCACCTTCTTCCCTTTGCTGTGGGGCCGCCCACTGAATGCATGAGAGATGAGAGTGAGAGCCCCGTGCCATGCTTCCTAGCAGGAGACCACCGTGCCAATGAGCAGCTGGGTCTCACATCCATGCACACTCTTTGGTTCCGGGAGCACAACCGCATTGCCAATGACCTGTCAACCCTCAATCCCCACTGGGATGGAGACCTCATATATCACGAGGCACGGAAAATTGTGGGTGCCCAAATGCAACATATCACCTATGCCCAGTGGCTCCCCAAGATCCTTGGGGAAGCTGGAATGAAGATGCTGGGCGAGTACAAAGGCTACAACCCCAACATCAATGCGGGAATCCTCAATGCCTTTGCCACCGCTGCCTTCCGCTTTGGACACACCTTGATCAACCCCATCCTGTACCGGCTGAATGAAACCTTCCAGCCCATCCGCCAAGGCCACATCCCCCTGCACAAGGCCTTCTTCTCCCCTTTCAGGATCATACATGAGGGTGGGATTGACCCCCTCCTCCGCGGGCTCTTTGGGGTGCCTGGGAAAATGCGGGTACCATCAGAACTCCTCAACATGGAGCTGACGGAGAAGCTCTTCTCGATGGCACACTCAGTCTCACTGGACTTGGCTGCTATCAACATCCAGAGAGGGCGAGACCATGGCATCCCACCATACAATGATTTTAGGGTCTTCTGCAACCTCTCATCTGCACAGGAGTTTGAGGACCTCAGAAATGAGATAAAGAACTTGGAGATCAGGGAAAAGCTCAGGAGGTACGGTAGCCTAGCCAGGCTCGAAGGCATCACAATCACTGAAAATACATCTGTGAAAAGTTACTGCTCTTCCTAGAACATCCATCAAATGACCTTCCCAGATATTACTACCCACAGATGTTCAGATAGGGTAACAGTTTTGGTTTAAGAGCGGGGCAAGACAAATAAGGTGTCTCCAAGTGATCAGTCTAGTTCTGAGTGGAATGTCATCAGGGCCTGGTGTGGTATAGTTTGGAAGCAGATTGAGCCTTGGAGCTATTTTCCAGTGAGACTAAATTGCATCCTATCTGCACTGGCTGACATCAGCTTACTCGTTCCAAGGCAGGCCCATTGTTTTTTTGGATAAGACTATTACAAATGTTGTCCAGATGAGTTGTTTGTATAAGCATTCCTCTGATGGAATCAGATTTATTTTATCTTCACTCTTTGATACTCCCTTACCTTTTTTATATTTTATCCTGCAGCTTATATGGAACTACCAAAAACATTGACCTGTTTCCAGCGCTGATGGTGGAAGATCTTGTCCCTGGTACCAGAGTTGGACCAACACTGATGTGTCTGTTAACGACGCAATTCAGAAGGCTGAGGGATGGAGATAGGTATTGTAATCGGAGTCAACCCAAAGTCTTTGGTATTCTGTTTGGAAAGATTTGCTCCCTGCAGGAAACATGGAGGCAAGAGAATCTGTGATTTTCTCTGAGTGTTCTTCACCTTATGATATGGGAAGGGTCTCCTCTGTCCAGAATATTTGCAAAAGGACTTTCAAAGTTACAATCCTTTCCTGATTTAATGATTTCCATTCCACTGCAGGACATCGGTCACTGCTGAAGATGTGTCCAATGTCTTATGAAAATGTTAGAACATCTCTCAGAGAACTGCCTTCTAGTTCTCATTTGCTGTTCATGCTAACATGACTGTTCTTGCCCAGGTGATGCACTTAAGGCAGGTGCTTTGTGAGCCCGCCCACCCATAGCCTAACTGCTATGGTAGAATTGTCTGTCTGTTCCCCTACATGGGAATAAGTAGTGTCACTCTGCAACTCAGGTCAGCAGCTCCCTGGGATTTATGGGAGACTGTCTTCATAGCTATGTGAAGTCGTCCTACAGAGCAGGCCCTCTTTGCAGTTTAACACGGCATGGGACACCGGAATAGAAGCTCTTTTTGAGGGGTCTGGATGCTGTCACACAGATGTAGGGCAACTCTTCTCCCTCTCAGCCTCACTCTCCATCATCATCTTGTACTCCTGAGTCATGCTATGATCTGCAAATCCTGCAGATTTTGGTACGAGAATCCTGGGGTCTTCACACCAGCGCAGCTGACTCAGATCAGACAGACGTCCCTTGCTCGCATCATCTGTGACAACAGTGACCACATTCAGCAGCTCCAGAGAGACGTCTTCCAGGTGGCATCGTACCCACAGGGCATGGTTGGTTGCGAAGAGATTCCGGCGGTGGATCTCCGCTTGTGGCAGGATTGTTGTGAGGGTAGGAATGAGGCCGTTCTAGCACCGACTGACATGCGATGGTTCGGGGTCACGCTCCCTTTCTGTTATCACTTCATACGACGTGTCAGGAGCTGGTTTAATGACACAGATTACTTCTCTGTGGGAAGTAGAGCCATATGTGAGGCAAATGGGTGCAAAGAGGAAAATAGCTGTATCCAATCTGACTGAAGGTCCAGCTAGTTCAGGGCTTCTGTCTCATAGCGGCCAAAAGCTCGCGCTCAGGGGAAGAGACTAAAACGGCATGGGCACAGTGGTCCCTACAACGTACAGTAACTGAGGAACTGTGAGCTAGAAAGTGGCATGGAGTGCGTTTAATCATGACTTGTGGATTTATCTTCTTGCTATTCTACCTGAGCCATCGCCATTTCTGGCTTCCACAGCATCCTGTAGCAACAAGTCCTCCCGCTTATTAATGTGTGGAAGTTGTAACATCTCTTTTGGACTGCTAGCCTCTAGGCAGCTCGCAGAGCTCCTGATTCTGATGAATGCGCATTCCCCTGGTCACCTTCATGCCATTTGGGAGTCTGTAAAACTCTGCTATTAAAGAGCAGATCCTGCCATGGTTCCAGCCAAGGCATGGTAAACTTCGCAGGATGCATGCCCTATCCGCCTTTGCTGCCTCCTTTCCTCCAGCGTAACTGGTGTGTTGATGGTGGACAGTGAAGGAGGGTAGTGCTGCTTTGTTCACAGATAGTTCAAGCCAAATGGTTCTGCCTGAAGCATGAATGCTCATTCCAGATTCTCCCTTCCTTCCCAAGACTGCCAGACACGTGGACAATTCAAGGCTCTTTCTCAGCGGTTTCGAAGCAAGAGGTCTCCTGGATTCAGCTACCCAGAAGAAAACCCTTCCAAGCACAAGCCTGCATTTTCCAGGTGTGGTACTTCCATTTCTTATACCTCCACTTTCTGAAGAGTAAGAGAAGTTTGTCATGACTCTGTCCATTCAGGCTTTTGAAATTGGCATTCTGCTCTGAGGCCTGGAGTGTTTCAGAAACTCAATACAGAGCTTGATCAAAAGTCCTCCAACAGGTATGGGGGGCTTTTCCCTTTGTTTGAACAGTTACCAGGTGAAGCTCTGTCTTACTGAGAGGATGTGTGAATAGTCTTCAGAGTCCTGGGAGAATGACAGAGAAGACCATTTTAGGGGCAGGTTTTGAAAATCCCCAAAGCAGTTTCCAACCACACACAACACTAGCCAGGGGATTTAGCACAGAGCATAACTCTTGCTGCTGTTGAAGTACCTGGGCAGATCAGGCAATTGTGTGACTGTTTGGCTGGCGTCTCTTGGCATGTGAAACTGATAATTGGGCCCTTCTGTGCCCACCTTGATACTTAATCTAAGCCTGATGTTAGAGAAGGCAGAATGATTCTCCCATCCAGGAAGTCGACATTTCTGTAATATCATTCGCGTTCTATCTCTGACTCCAGAAATGAGGTGCCTTCTCCAAGCCTTCCCTCCAGAGAGAATCTTGAGTCCCTTGTGGCTGAACTAGAGAAGACTGTTGCTTCCCTACAGAAACAGGTAAAATTTTGTGCCCCAGTATTGTCTTCCATGGAGCCACACTATGAGGAAGATTTAGCTATGAGCTGTGGAAGTTGGCAGCCTCCGTGGCTTCTGTGCATTCAAGAGTTCTGTGAGCTTATACCTCTACAACTGCAAGGTAAAATGCAAGTCTGAACCACAGTGAAAGTGGCTTGAGGTGGGACTGTTTATTTGTATTTGGGATACGTGAAAGATTGTCTGTGCAATCAGTTGATGAATTGTAATTCTGTTATATTTGACTGGATGCCTCGCAGGTCACGGTATTTGGTGTGTGGAGGGTAGACTGCTCTTTTTAAAGCTGATGGTTTTTGCGTCATCGCCACTAGGTAAACATACTAGAGAGCCAGCTGAGGTGGCACCACAGGAACACTAGCGCTTTTGGACAAGGGAAGAGGACTGGAGACAAATGGAGAAAGAGATGACCGTGTTGCCTGCTCATATAAGGTCAGCATGTTTGCTCTGAGCTTAGCTGAGGTCTGAGCTTAGATCAGTGTGGCACTGCTGAGCATGGGGTGGGACACTTGAACAGTCTTCACGTACATAAAAGACTGTTGCAGAAAGGAATGGAGCAATCCAGTGATGAATGGGACAAGAGGGAATAGGCTTAAATGCAGCAGGTTAGACACCATTTCTAACAGGGATGATTAGTGACTCACTAGAATGGGTTATGTGGGGACATTGTGGCATATCCATTCCTGGAGGTCTTTTAAGAACTGGTTTTGCAAAGATGGGGAAAGACATAAGTACAGGATGGACTAGGTGGACTGGATGAGGTCTCTCTCAGGCCTTTTCTCCGGGGACTCTGGGCAGATTTCTTCTAGCAACCCTTAATATACAACCCCAAATCCAATAGCCTCTTTGGGGAGTGATATCACAGAGCACAGTCATGGGGTAGATGGACTGGTTCCTCCTCAGTGTAACAAGGACATCTGGGAGATGGAGCAATCCCTCGTGTGCTTACGTATTGACAGAGATTTCCCCCTCAGAAACTGAGTCACTATGCACATCTCTTCTGAGAGCACCAGTCTCCTGTTGGCTCAGCGCTAGCCAAGGGAGTGAGACTGTTCAAGTGTGCGTGTAAGGTCACTGTAAGCACCTGCCAGCATGGGGACTCCTGCTGCCACTCAGCTGTGGCAGGATCAGTCTCCAAGGTGCTGGTAGAAAGCTGCAAGTCCTTGCTCTCTGTATCTAGGGGCAATGGGGAAACAGAATGAGCTCCTTTAACCTTGATTTCCATGGATGTCTCTGCAGCCCTGAAAGAGAGGGTGAACAACTCACTGGCACCTGCCAGTCCGGAGGAGGTGTTTATTAGTTTTTGTGTGTCACAAATGGCTACTCCAGGGACAAGAGCAGACAGGTTATGCAGAAGTGCTGTTCTGCCAGGCAGTCTGTGCTATAAGGAACATCCTCTGGAAGTTAGGTTACAGGTGAGGGCAAACAAAGGCTGGTTTACCCAGATAATCTCAGTGGAAAGCAGAAGGGAAAGCTTTCATGCTGCAGTTGCACACACCTCAGACCTGCCAGGAGCTGTACAAAGAGTAATCGCTACCTCAGACTCTCTCCAATATACCTTGTTTGCTTTCTCGTGCCATTTCAGGTGCCCCGTGACCTGCACTCTTGCTCTCCACTGGCCAGTCCAATTCACTCCTAATGGGCTCCGAAACAGCAACCTGCAAGGCCCAGCGATGCTCTGACTCCTCTCACACCTCCTGTATGTCTCCCTGTCCCAGGACGACTGTATTTCTACTTGTACCGAACCCTCTGCACTGACTGTTTATGAGCCCCCTCAGCCCCCGGACTGTTTCAACGCTTGTCAACCTCCTGGGAATAGGCTCTCCCACTGCACTGCCCCATTTAATGGTGACAGACTAGCAGTCTGCCGAGATGTCGCTTTCTACTGTAGTCGCCAGCACAGGAAATGGAGGATAATTGGAACTCCTTTAGTGGCACCATTCTGGCTTTCTCTCTTTCCCATGCAATGCTGTCATCATCCACTATCTCTTGTCTGCAATGTCCCGTGGCACCCAGGCTAAACAATTTATTATGCGGCAAAATCTTTCTCAGATAAGCTATCTCTAAGCTTTGGTGCCAGGAAGACCCTGGAGAAATCCTACTGTGACTGAAAAAAATTAAGCAAACATAAAACCCTAAACAAACCCCTAGCCATCCTCATATGCAAGCAGAAAGAGCAAGAACAACTTCAGGGCCCTGGAAAGCGCTGTAGGCTGGCCTTGCAGTTCATGCCAGCAGCAACAAGATGAACCCAAGGCCCAGAGGATCTCCCGGCTGTTTGGGTGCCTCCGAACGGGATGCCAGAAACAGAAGAGCATGGTGACCCACAGTGCTGAGATCAGCTACGGTGCTTTGCCAATCATTTGATAATGAGTGGAGCATCCTCAATTATATTACTGTGTGCGTGAATCTACCGTTACGTGCTCAGTGCTAAGAAGCATTTTCCTAAACATGAACTGCGTTCTCCAAGTTTCTACGCTTTAGAGTTTTTTAATTGGATTTATGTTTCTCTCCTTCTTTCTCCCAAAAGGCTCATTGCTGGAAGATGTATTTAGAGTGTGAACATAACAGGACCTGAGACAGAACCTCAGATAATTAAATGTAATGGGCGCTCTCATTAATGGAGGGAAGCTGCTGGTTTCCATCAATTAGTACGGGAGAACACTATGTGCAGTATTTGACACTGATGAATGCAAAGCACTGTTTGTGTTTATTGCTCCCAGGTGCTCTGCAACTAAACCAGGACTATGTAACCAGCTTTGCTGAATAGATGTTATGGTTTTGTTGCTCTTTGGAGGTGCTTTTTAGTGGTGCTAGAACCAAAGTCCCTGTGAATCTACCATAGCCCAAAATCTTTGGACAGATTGGTTTTTAATACATCAATGCAAGCCAGTCGCAGGGACTAAGAGAAATACTTGATCCATTATACTATGCCTTCCTTTCTTTTTTGCTTCCTCTTCCTGTTTCCTCTCTCCTTCCTTCCCACAGTGCAAGGATCCAGAATTTTTATGAGCATGCCTTTTCTTTCCTCTTCCTCCTTTTTTCTTTTTCCCAGATGTGTTATAGTTCCAAAGGGATTCAAAGCAGCAGGGATACTCCTGGAACTTAATAGGAAAATAAAAAGACACCAGAAAAAGACTGTGATTTATCAACTATTTCCTGGCGTGGGATTCAGAGCTGTGCGTGCGTGTCTGTGTAGATACAAGTTTGCAGTGATGAGTGTGCTATGCATGTCTGGTAGGTTCAGCTCAGAGGCAGTATTTAGTCCTCAGGGATGTTTGTCCTTTTCAAGTACTCTTTCATTTAGGTGCAAATCAAGATCCAAAGCCTTGCATGTCATAAATCAGCTGCACTTGTCTATCACTTGTACCATTAGAGAATCTAATCTGGCAAAGGTCAGTAAAGGTAAATCCAGTCTCCTTCAGCAAACCACAAGCTCATCAAGTCTCCATTCAAAATAGCAAGGTGTAAACCTTCTGTGCTTGCTCTGATCAGATAATCTCCCTAAATGCATAAGGAAGCAGGCCTAGTGATGGAGCATGATGTGAGGAGTAGACTTGTCAGAAGTGCTGCAGAAATACATCGGGAGTGGATGTCCTCCACCTTTTCCCCATGTGTTGCAACTCCAGTTTTTCCCACCCTCTATTCCTGTAGGTAAGCAAAAAGTGAGAAAAAATACACACAGAAATTAAACATCAGTGCACAACAGCAGGAGAGAGGCAGTGCGCTCGGCAGGTGGGGGAAGACCCCAGGGGGATTCTCCATATATCCAAGTGCTCCTTTCTGGTATGTAGGGAGCAGAACGTTTTGTTAAAGACTCCCTGCACCCTTTTCCACTTCTCACCTGCACAGTGATGTGCAGAGTGTCCTGCTGGAGAGCTGTGTGCTCCTCCTTCAGCGCTGGAGAAGGGTGGGGGACAAGCCAACTCCCGACCCAAATGTTCAGATCTAGTTTTTGCAGCTTGTTTGGCCATCACAGGACACCCAGGAAGTAACATACGGCAGGCTCCTAGCTGTTCACCCAGGGACCGGACCAGTTTGTTCTTCATACACCATGCAGCACCTTCCAGTTTGTTTTTTCCTAATGTCTGTGATTTTATTTACTATAACAAAAATGTCTTTCTGCAAATACTAGACCCAGGATGGTTTGCCAATCTGACACCCTAAAGAGAGTTTTTCATCAAAAAAAAAAAAAAACTTCCCAAAGTTAGATCTGGTAGGAACTCAGAAACTGAACAGCACTAGAGTGCCCGTGTGCCCACCTGCCTGGGGAAAGGCTGTTTGAGGGACTTTAGTAGCCCTCAGCCTAGGCCAGTACAATACATCTCTCCTCTTTTTTTTCTCGATAGTCTCTTTCCAAACCAAACTGCACACCCCAAGTCAGCTACACAGACCAGCTAGAGCAGAGGAGCATCACAGTAATAGGCTCAAGCACAGGAGCTGAGTTCCTGGGGGAGCAGACCACAGAGAGGACTGCCAGCCAAAAACCTCCCGCTAGTGAGATGGAAAGAGTTGAGTGACAAAACCGTCATAGGGGGCGCGTGGGCACCTGCTGGAACTGGGATTTTTTTCACTTGAGCGGCAATCTTGAGACAGCTTACGCCGAGTATGCCGGACACGAGGCATAAATCTCGGTATTTTGGTGGACGCTTGAGTTTGCCCTGGCCTGCTGGCTTTTAGCAGGGTATTTGCAGCCTGTCCACGCCAGAACATGACCGGGACTGTTGAGAGTCCGGGTCCGCTCAGCCGGCAGCGCGAGCTGGGTGGGCCGGTGTGCAAGGGCTCTGCTCCGCGTATCACCCCAGAACGGCCAAGCAGCACAGAGCCAAACCACTCCAAATCTCTTTGTGGTTATTTCTCTGTTCTAACTAATTCCTGCACGTTTGTGGATGCAATTATTTTCCTTTGGAAAAAAAAAAAAAACAAACCCTCCCACACAAGCATAATCAAGATTATTAACTGGAGCCTGCCACTCATCACAAGAGCTGCTTAAAGAACAGAGAGCTGCGTTTACCGGTGCTCCGGTAACGAGCATGAGAACCCTTTAAAATAATAATAATTAAAAAAAAAAAAAA